TAGAGAAATGGCGCAATTTAAATTCATCTGTGCTTTGCATATCATACATTCACGATCAGACTAAAAAACGAACCTCGGTGGTCGCGTCGTGTAAAATACACAGAGATCACAATGAAAGATAGCACACAAGAAGGGGCAATATTGCATCTATGATCATTTGGCCCACACAAAGCACATGCACACAACTTCAACGGTCAGCTGGTCCAGTTTTAACGACACCTCTATCATCAACGTATGTACAAAACTACAGACGCCGTAAATTGGCAAAAAATCAAGCTGTTTACAAGAAGAATAATCTAAGCATAAACCCGAAAATGTTACCTGAGAAAAAATTACGTTCAAGATTTTGTCACTCATAAACGAATTTTAATGTATCGCATGAACAGATATTGAAGATGTAGCGCAAGAATGTCATAAAGAAATCAACTACAGTCAATATCATTTCAACCATTCTTTGAACAGAAGATGATGTTTTGTTTGTTCTGAAAAGCTTACTACTAAAACCGTATAGTTCAGTAAGTACATTAAAAACAATTACTGTAAGACACCACTGTCAAGCATACATCAACTAAACGGGTTTTATTTTATGATTATTAATTACTTCAACGTGGTGAAGCTCTTTCTCCAGTTCTTCGATATGGCTTTCGTTGATCTTAGTACCACTGGCCTTTGCTTGGCTGTCGTTCAGCCAAACTTCCAACTCCGCCTTTAGATTCTCCCAAGCGCGACAGTCGTCAAGCATGGACGAAAGTTCGTGTTTCCTCGACTCGGACTGCGTAATGCATCGGTCCCACTGCTTTGTTAACAGCTCAGCTGAAAAGACCAATAATCACACTGAGTTAGGAACGGTTATCCACTATTATTTTCAGCTATCCTAAATTCAACCCTTCAACTTAGACGTAGCAGAGATCCGAAACGGATGGCACGTCAGGTCCAAGTATGAGGTATAGCATTCTCATTAAACATTAAAAACTGTCATGAATCATGGAACAGCGGGCTAAAGAGCCAATGTTAATCAAAGGAGGACGGACTTCTGTAGGCCTTTAGGCTGTGCAAAACGAGAAATCTAACGCTGCAAGCCGAAAGCAACAATCAAGGAGCATTATCTGTGTTAATAGGTAAAAAAGTCGGGGTACTACGGGGACGATGGGAGGTTTGTAACTGACGATATCAGGAAATGGGGAAAACAATATTCTGATACCAATATTCGAACAATGAAGACCAGACGAATCTGGAACAATAGCAATGCCCAAACTTACAGACTGTCGTTATTGTTCTGGACGAAGGATGGTATTTGTCACTGAAAAGGCAGATTATCACTGGGGCCCCAACAATCTCGTTTTGCGCGTTTTTACAACCTTACCTGTTCAGCGTGATACTGCGCTATACAAAGAAAGGTATTACCAAGCATTCGCAATGTTTTACTACGACTCCTAGATTTTAGTGCGCGAAATCCGCCAGCATTCCATTTGTGTCCGCATTTCACGCTGCAGAGAACAACGTTACTGTAAGTAATCACAACCTCTCACTCCTGTCATGGAAGCCAGACAACGAGCAATATACTGGCCTTCACGAAACAACAAAGTAAAGCAGAAAGAACATTTCCTGACTGCTGCGGAAGAACCCATATTTTATATTTTTTAGGAGAACCGTTTCGTGCGACCACGCATTAACCCAAAATGAAAAACAACGCAATCCCTACCTTTGTGTCTGATTTCAGAATCCTTGCATTTGTCGAAAATAATCAGCAACTGCATCTTGTTCGAGTTAAGCATGGACAGAAACTTCTAAACGCAATACACAAACTGAGAACTAGCCGTTCATCATCGTTGCCATCAAATTTATCGTACCTGCAACTTCTTCTGAGATTCTCTGATATCCTTCAGACTGGCGACGTTGCATACACTTGAGTACTCTTGTTCCGAATCTAGCAGCCAGTTACGAAAGCGCAAAAGTTCATGCAAGTCTCGCTGGCGACCGCTAACACTGGAAGGAATTTCGTCGGCGCGCAGCTTCATCAGTGGTGGGTGGAAGCGGTTAGATTTTCCGTCCGGTTCTTCACTGGTCTTCTTCGTTGCCGCTACCGATTCTGGTGACGAAACCAAATCTAAACAAAGAAAACCAGTGCAAAAGACGCGTTACTTCTAAAAGCAGCAAATTAGCACTGTTGCGAACGGAGGCAGTGTATAGAACCTCAGTTCAATACCAAGTTAATACTGCTCAAAAATTAGGTAGCAATAAGTATTTCATAAACGATCGAGGATCACAGTGCATCACACTATTCGCAAATATCATTAACATGGCTAAGTCTATTACAGAGCAACCACCATTTAAATTAATAGAAAGATATTCCATTAAAAAAATCCTAGCCGGTGGTGTAATTTAATCTTAAATTTCATGTATTTCTGAAGTGTAATGACGATTCATATCTTCAACGTTAGACGTTAAAAAATATGCGCAAATGACCTATTTCCCCGATTCTTGCTTGCAGAAATGCATGTTAATGTTTCTTAGAACATGTTAAGGCGAACCCAGAATTCGCCACCAATCAAAAGAGGATGCCTCATTTTTCAAGCTACGTTGAAGCTATTTCCGCTGTCTGCTCCACAGAGGATGAAACGAAAAAGCAGAACAGCGTCACTCTACTCAGTGAATCTGTACATTCAAAATATTCCCCAATTTTTACAATCACTGCGGTATTTCATAAACTCTGTCAGGAACTGTGAAACAATCAGTTAACGTGGCAACTAGAAAACAGCGCTGATGCTTCACTGACCTTAAAAAGACATTAACAGTGGAAATTTAAAGGTTAAAAAG